CCAGAGAGATTGAGAGACTTGCCCAAGATTATCCAGCCTGTGAGTGGTAGAGTCAGGATTCAACTCCAATCAGTCACACTGCAGAGCCTTTGCCCATAATAACTGCTTTCCAGTGTTTGAGCCGCTGGATCACACCTCACCTGAATGAAGATGAACCAGTACACACTTTTTAATCAGGTGGCCAAGATATTTCTTGCTTTGCTAGGGAAGAAAATTACTTTGTTTTGGGTTTTTGGACATTTGTCATCAATTAGAGGCTTATCTGTGACAATCCAGAAGAGGTTATCCAACCAACCTGGGGAGTCAGAGAAGGCTTTCCTGGAAGGATACATCTGAGTTAAGACCTGAAGGATGAGGAGATAGCTACTGAAGATAAGGAAGAGGGGTGATTCAGTTACGGGGCACAGCAGGAAGAAAAGCCCAGATGTTGGGGTAGGGAGTCTTGACAGGTGCTGCCTCAGTGAGAACACTGCTTTCTTCTCTGGAAAGGTCTTAACCTGGAGATAAGTTCCCTCCACTCAGCTCTATCATCACCCCCACCAGCCCCCTGCTATGCTTCAGCCCTGTCATCGCCTGCCCTGGTTCCCTGCCCCGGCCACAATCTCCTCCTCTGATCCACCCTCCAAAGAACAAGAATGCTCTTTCCCATTTTTTTTAACTTCTGATTTCTCAGTTTCTTTAGATAATGATTTCAAATCTACAGACTGTACACAAAAAGAGTCTAACAGACCTCCATGTACCAACCAGATTTAACAGATGTGAACATTTTCCTATGTTTGCATCAGATCTCTTCCTTTTAGAAATAAAATATTATAGACACAAATTAAGCCCCTGCCCCTTTCCTCTGTTCCCTTCTTCCCTCCCTCCACGCCTGGAAGAAACCACTGAACTCATGTTGCCGTGAATCAATCCGATGTGTATTTTTCACTTTTACTCAACATGTGTGAGTCCACATGCAGAGTTGTTGTTTTGGATGTGTAGGAGTCCTTAGGGACTTCTGCCAAATCTCAACAGCTCTTCACCTGCCAGGCCTCACCTTCTGTGTTTCTCAGTTGGCCCAGTTGACATTTCAGTTCACAGCATCATAAAAATGTCAATTGTTATGAGGAAATTAAACAGGATGGTCTAAGATGTGCTAGACATTGATCACAAAATTTTCAAACTGTATATCCAAGAAGCAAAGGATAAGGATCCATTTCTGTGTTATTAATGGCAATAAAGAAGGTTCCATCCCCCAAAAGTAGTGTCCTATACACTGTACTTTTTTTTTAAGATTTTATTTTTCCTATTTTCTCCCCAAAGCCGCCCAGTACATAGTTGTGTATTTTTAGTTGTGGGTCCCTCTAGTTGGGGCATGTGGGATGACACCTCAGCATGGTTCGATGAGCGGTGCCGTGTCTGTGCCCTGAATTTGAACCGGTGAAACCCTGGGCCACCCGAAGTGGAGCACACGAACTTAACCACTCAGCCACGGGGCTGGCCCCAAGACTGAACTATTTAAACTTCAATATGCACACAAATTGCTGACAGATTTCGTCAAAATGCAGGTTTTGTAAGTCTAGAGGTTGGGGGGCAAGGGGTTCTGCATTTCTAACAAGCCCCTGCCGGATGTTGGGGATGCTGGTCCTTGAACACTTTGTAAGTAGCAAATTACAGACATTAATGTGAAAGCTTGAAGCTTGTCAAACAGGGATCAGGAGTGGAACACAGGTTGCCCATCTCAGGTTGGGGACAAAATTCATTTTGCCAAGTGTATTGAATAGACTGAACACAATGCAGGTACAAACCTGACATGTTTCTTCTCCTGTGAGTAATGTGCCAATCTCACCTTTTTGCAACAGCCTTTTGGGGGGTGGAGAAGACAACACTCCCTCATGGGGGGGAAGAGGAGGAAAGCCACTGCAGCTCCCTGTACAACAGCTTGATGTCACAGTGATTTCTCACACAGCAAGAGTCTCTGCTTACAGACAGTACTGGGGTCCAATCAGAAAGACTGAACCACTAGGGAAGATACAGTAGATAGATAGATACATAGAGAGAGAGAGAGAGAGAGATTTGACCTTATGCAATTGGTGGAGTTTTTAAGCAGTCCCTAAGATTGTTGTCCTAGCGTTTGATGCTGGTACTCGAAGTGCACAGGGCGGGAAGTTAGGAAGGACAGATGTAAAGTAGGGGAAAGCTGGGACAAGTTGAAACAAGCTTGCCTCTGACCTTGATGGTATGAGCATCCACAGGAGAAGCTGGCATTCTTCATCATGGAGCCAGACACACACCTGGCCGAGGAGTTAGAGAAGTTAAAGGAAGAGGTGGGACAACTGCTGCCCCAGCTGCTCCCCCATGCAAACACAGTGAGCCGGCAGCCAGCCAGTGACAACCTGCGTGACCTGCCAAATGGCAGCTGCTTCAATTCTGCCCTCCAAATCGGGCCCAAAAATCTCTTTTGGCCCATCCTAATCGGATATATACAGGGAAGGTCATTCTAGGATGTAGTTCATTCAGCCCAGTCAAGCTGACACATTACAAAGCCCCCACACAGAGACTGGAGGAGAGTGGTTTGAAGATGATTAGTGGCTGCTGGGAAGATGGCCACGTGACCAGCTTTGCCCTCTCTTAGGTATCTTGAGAAGATGTGTCTAATAACGCCTGGGTGGCTTTTGTCAGAGTTGGAGGGAAACTACTGATAGTTATCTCTTATTTGGCCTTAACTTTTCTTCCAAAGCACACAGAATCCTTTTATATTGATATATAATCATACAGCTTCAGTCAAGGTGCATCTGACGAACTGTCATCAAGGTTATGGATATTTCATTAAACAATATTCCAGCTGTCAGTCAATACTTTTTTAATAGACTTTATTTTTTGTGAGCAGTTTTATGCTTACAGAAAATTGCACAAAAATTAAAGAAAGTTCTCATATGCCTCTTCTCCCTCCACATGCATTTTCCCCTATTATTGCCATCTTGCAGGAGTATGGTACCTTTGCTACAACTGATGACCAATAGTGAAACATCATTACTTTGGCTTTTTACAAATGCATAAGGTGATGCACCCACCATTACAATATCATACAAAATAGTTTCACCCTCCTAAAAATGCCCTGTCCTTCACCTTTGCATCCCTACCCCCCACCCCATGACGCCCTGGCAACCACTAACCTTTTTACTGATCTCTACAGTTTTGCCTTTTCCAGGATGCCGTGTAGTTGCCTTTTCAGATTGTCTTCCAAAGTGGCTGTACCATTTTGCATTCCCACTAGCAATGAATGAGAGTTCCTGTTGCTCCACATCCTCACCAGCAGTTGGTATTTCATTGTTTGGGATTTTAGACATTCTAATAGGTGTGTAGAGGTATCCTATTGTTTAAATCTGCAATTGCTTAATGACATATGATGTTGAGAAATTTTTCATATGCTTATTTGCCATCTTTATATTTTCTTTAGTGAGACATCTGTTCATAAGTTTTGTCCTTTTTTAAACTGGATTATCCGTTTTCTTATGGGTGAGTTTTAAGAGTTCTTTGTATATTTGGGATACCAGTTCATCACCAGATATGTTCTGCAAATATTTTCTCCCAGTCTGTGATTTGTGTTCTCATTCTCTTAACAGCCAATACTTTTTAAAGCCTCTTGAAAAGCTCATACATCCATGGCAGACATACTGTCTAATTGATTTCTTTTTTTAACAGCAAAACACCCCACAAAGGGCAGAAGGGTGGAGATGTTTGAGAGAAATGGTAGCTATTGAGAAGTCAGGATTGCATCACCTGAGTTACATCAGCCCTGGCACCCTTTTCTGCTTCTTGGCTCTTACGAAGCATTCGAAGCTGGACTCAGCTTCTCCCCCAAATCTGCTGTCTCAGGGGTGATCCCATGATTCCCTTGTCCCTGGACCAGAGACTCAGCTGGCCTTTGGATGTCCCCGTGGCTCCTCATATCATAGAGTCCCACATTGTTATCAGCAGCTTCTCCAAAATTGCCCCTTCTCTCACGTCCCCAATTCAAGGTCTGCTCAGCCTAATCCCCAGCCCAGAGCCCTGGACCTCACCCTAGATGTCCATCCACGCCCCGCACAACCAGTCAACCTTATGACCCATCCACTCAGGCTCCTCCTCTCTGCTCCACAGCCCTGCTGTGGTCCAGCACTGCCCTTGCCTCCTACTCCTCATCCTGCTCCACCCTCCTCCCTGGGTTCCCAGCTTTAGCCTCACCCCACTACCTTTCCTCCCATTTGTTTATTCAACAACTATTTAGAGACAGGCTCTGTACCGGACACTGAGGACAGAGTGGTGACCTAGGCAAGCAAGTTGAATGAAAGGTCTCTGAATGTTACCATTTCTCAAGGCCCTGTCTGAGGCTGAGTGGGCTCTCCAGAACTCCAGGCCTAGCATCTCATATTTCTGGGGCACCCCACAGACCTCTCACACTCCCCGTGTCCCTAACTGACCCACCCCTCCTGCTTATTTTCAACCATCCCTACCTGGTGATGCGTCTATATCCCCCACTGAACCGTGAGCTCCATACCATGCAAACGGGCTGTGTCAGCCCTGGCGGTGTCCCCATCACAGGGTCGGCTCATGAATGTTTTAGTATGGTAAGGACGAACCAATACCTGGAAGAAAGCATGCCAGGGAGATATTAGGATCATGCTATCTGCCCTCTGTCCTCACTTAGACCTGAGACACCCTGTTTCTGAAATCATAGAGCAGTAAGTTTGGCATCTCCTCGCCTGATTCTCATCCTTCTAGGATAAAAGTCCTGTTTTATCAAGAAAATCAAGGGAGTCATTAGGGACATTTTGCCTGTGAGGGAACAGCTGGTGTGAGCAGGAGGACGCAGAAAGCAAGCGCCTCTCCCCGCCCCCATTTCTCCTACCCCCTTTCATCTTCGCTCAATGGGACCCATCCTGGAACGGGGAGCCATGCCGGACAGCTCCGAGACCCTGCAGGCCCGGGTCTGCCAGGCAACGGATGACGTCCCTGCCGGCGCGCTCGTGACGTCAGAGGCGGGCGCCGCGCTTGAAGAGAGCGCGGGAGGCGGTGGTGGCGGCGCTGTCATGGCGTTGGCGCAGGAAGCGCGGCAACTGGGTTGCTGGGTGGCCGAAGAGATGGAGGCGCCTTTGGCGGCCCGGGTCCCGGAATCGACGCTGCGCAGGTGAGGACCCTGGAAGGGAGGACTGCCGGTCCTGGAGGTGGACCTCCGGGTGTGAGAACCCCATCTTCACTGAAGACAGGCCCATCCCCCCTCCCTCTCTGCCCCGGTGAGAATGACCCATAAGGGCGCTCCTACCCCGGAGTGGTACATCCAAGAAGAGGATCCCAGGTTTGAGCGAGGACGCCCTGGCAGTGACCCCCACACTCCCACCCTTACCCCGCGAGGCCGTCCAGAGTGGGGTCCCTGGCACCAGGAAGGATCCTCCGTGAGTTAATAGAGCCCCCTTCCCATGTGGAAATAGCATCTCCAGGGTAAGGCTGTCCCTGCAGCACCTCACCACCGACCCTCCAGCCCAGCCAAGGCCACCCCCTTGGAGACTGAATCTGTAGGAGAGATAAGCCACATCTGGTAAGGAGAGAGCCCTTCCAGGCAGCACACCCTCACCCCCACCTCTGGAAGTAACTGGAAATAACCCTGTCACAGGAGAAAGGGAGCACCCCACCAGGGAATGAGAATACTCTCACGCCCAGTGAGAAGCCCACCCTCTCAGGGACCAAGAACTCCCCAGAAGGGAATATCTACCCAAAAAGTATGGGCCCTCCCCCCTCCCAGAAGTGAGAATTCCCCAGTAAAGACTTCCCCACCACCCCCCTCGGGGAATGGTGATCCTCCCCCTGCCCTGTGATGTCCCAGACACACCCTTACGTCATCCCCACAGGCTTTGCCTGGGCCAGGGGGCCGACATCTGGACCTACATCTTGCGGCATGTGCACAGCCAGAGGTGAGGCTGGCTGTGCGAGGGAGGCTGTGGCAGGGGAGGGGACACAGGCAAGTTCCACAGTAACTCCTCTTCATCCTACCTTTCCACTGTAGGAGTGTCCAGAAGATCCGAGGAAACCTACTCTGGTAACTCGTCCTCAAAGCTATCCCTTCCTGTCTTCTGCAGTCCGATCCAACCGTGTCCCCACCCACAGCCTCAAACCTCCTGTCTCCCCTTGGAATTCCCTGTCTTCCCCTAACTCTGACCTCATTTCCTCAGGTATGGCCACCAGGGCAGTCCAGAGGTGAGAAGCATGTGCTACATGATTTTCTTTCATCCAAAGAGAGGACTTGTAGACCTTCTGCTCTAGGCCAAGCCTTGTGCTGGGTGATGCTGGGGACACTGCGTCACAAGCCCTGATCCCTGCACTCACAGGGCTTACAGTCCAGGGGGAGACAGGCATGAGCTGGGAACTGGGGGGACATGGATATGAGGCATCCAAGCTGGTGAGGGCAGATGGGAGGAGGGACTGGTTTGGAGAGATACTGAGGCCAGTGGGAGACCCAGTGTGTGCAAGGGGCCCAGGTGACATCTAGGGGGAGGCTTCCAGGAGACCTCAGGACTCCTAGGTGTGGGGCTCAGTGGGGAGATGAGGACCGGGACAGAAATGGAGTGGCATCAGCACAAAGACAGGAAACAGGTTGGGAGGGTAGGTGAGGCAATCCCAGGAGAAGGGAGGAGGCCAGGATAGCACCCTAGAGCCCTTCTGGGCCTAGAGGTTCAGACACAGAAAACTGCTTAGGAAAACCCTCTGCCATCCACCTGGGCAGGTGAGGTGACTGTGCGCCACAAAGGACAGCCAGCCAGGCCACGCATCTGACCTCGTATCTGACCCCACCAGGCCCGTCGGAAGTTGGAGCTGGAGACGGCTGTTGCCCGCCTGCGGGCAGAGATCCTGGAGTTAGACCAGAGCCTGGAGCTGATGGAGCGAGAGACCGAAGCTCAGGGTGACCCATGGGGCTGGGCAGATGGGCAGCAGAAGAGGGCTAGGGGAAATGCTGATGGCCACCTCTGTTTCTCCCACAGACATGGCTGTGGAGCAGGCCCTGCAGAGCATACAAGATACCCAGCGTCGTGCTCTCCTCCTCCGGGCCCAAGCTGGGGCCATGCGAAGACAGCAGCGTGGGCTCCAGGATCCCACACAGCGGCTGCAGAATCAGCTCAGGCGCTTGCAGGACATAGAGAGGTGGGCCTCAGGTGCCCAGGGACGAGCTGTCACCAGGCTGGGCAGACAGACATTCTCCTTAGAGACCCCATTGCTCTGCCTTGACCCCTTCTTGGGTTCCAGAATTCTGAGCTGCACTCCTTAGGATTTAAAGTCTGTGAGGCCAGGCAATTTTGTCATCTCAGCCACCTGTATTTGCAGTGCATAGAATGGTGTTAACTATGATAGAGAACACCAGTGTTGGGGAAGGTATGGGGGCAGGTATGATAATGAAGTGAGTTAAATGATCCAGACCACTTAGAAGAGTTCCTAACACCCAGTGTTATTATTCTTAGTGTGATGAGAACATATCACATTGTTTTCGAGGGTCTTGAGCAGAACAGTGACATGATCGGTCTGAGGGTTTAACAGGATCATTGACTATTGGGTAGAGAACAGACTCCAGGAGATGAGAGCAGAGAGACCAGTGAAGAGGCTAATGCCGTTGTCCAGCCAGGAGATGACAGTGGCCTAATTTTGGAGGTGGCCCCTGAGATCCAGGCTCAGTGATCCCTGTGACCAGCTTTGCTGGCAGCAGGAGGGGACACAGACATCTGTTCTCCCAGCTCCCTCCTCCCAGGGACCCCAGCCCCAACTGTACTCCTCTCTCCAGGAAGGCCAAAGTGAATATAACCTTTGGACCATTGACGTCAGCAGCCCTGGGCTTAGAGCCTGTGGTCCTGGTAAGAGCCTTGGGCCATGAGGGGAGGGGTGGAGAATCTGGGGTCAAGTGGACCCTTGGGTCTCCCTCATGCCCCATCCTCTTCTTCCCAGAGTGATATCCGAACAGCCTGCACCCTCCGGACCCAGTTCCTGCAGAACCTCCTGACTCCTCAGGCCACGGAAGACAGCATCCCGTGAGTATTCCCCAGCCCCCAGAGACCCTTCAGAGAACCTGGGCTTTGGGGGGAGTTACTTGTCTGTTAATTCGTCAAACACTGAGCCTCTGGGCTATGTCAGCCCTGGGCCTTACCCTGACAAGGCTCCCAGGCTGGGAAGCGGGGAGACCAGACCCATCACAGACAGTGACAACCCAGATGGTTAGGGCTGTTGGGGGGTGGGGAAGCCTGGGAGGCTCTGGGTACCCAGAGGAGACACCCTACCCACCTAAGGAGGCAAGGAGGATGGGCTCTCTGGTGAGGAGGGTAAAAGGTTGAGAGGGTGTTCCAGGTAAACAGCACCTGTGAGAGCGCCAAGGCCAGCAAGTTAATGTAAGTGAGGAACTCAAGTCTAGCAGGCATAGACGGACTTGGTTTCCTCATCCTTAAATGGGGACAGTGACAGCCCCTACCTTACAGGGTGGTGGTGATCATTAGAGGGAGAATTGATGTGTCTTGTAACCTTCTCTGTCCCTTCCCCAACCCCACAGAACCCCTCGAGATGACCACTTTGGAACTTCCTACCAGCAGTGGCTTAGCTCAGTAGAGGTGAGGGGCGCTCTCACCCTCTGCCCCATGATCACACTTCAGGGTGCCAGGACCGAACTCTTGATCCCTCCCCCATCTCCATGGGGTCCCAGCTTGCAGCCCAGCCTCCACCCTGCCCTGACTCCACCACTCCCCCACCAGACATTGCTGACACGCCACCCTCCTGGCCACGTCCTGGCAGCTTTGGAGCACCTGGCTGCAGAGCGGGAGGCAGAGATCCGGTCCCTGTGCAGTTCGGATGGGCTCCCAGATACAGAGACAGCCAGGTGTGGAGTGGATGCCCCCACAGTCAGAGCAGGGCGGGTGAGCTGAGACAGGTCAGGACCAGGCACAGTGACCTGCTGATGCGGGTGGGACTAGGACTGAAACCCAGTGACCAGTCTGGCAGATGGGCTGCCATTGGCTACCCCCAAGGGCGCAGGCAAGGGGACAGGGCTCCTTGCTCAGCAGCTTTACCCCTACCCCGCAGGTCCCAGGCACCAGACCAGTCAGACTCTGGCCAGGCCCTGCCGTCCATGGTGCATCTCATCCAGGTGACTCCCAGGCACCCTTCCGAGGACTCCATCCGCTTCCCACCCCAAGACCCACGCAATCCCCTCACCCCCAGAGACCATGCTCACCCTGACTTTGTACCTCGCTCCAGGAGGGCTGGCGATCTGTGGGTGCACTGGTCGGCGAGCGGGGCCCCCTCCTGAGGGAGCATCAGACCCTGACCCAGCGCCTCCAGGGCCTGATGGAGGAGGTGGAGACATGTACCCTGGGATCCAGCGAGAGGTGAGGGGGCTCCCTGGGCAGAAGCCTCCAGGCCATGTCTCTCCCAGGGGTCTTGAGATATTGGACTCCTTTGCCCCTATGGCTCCCATCTCTGCCTCCCTGCTCTCCTTGTTTGTTTCCCTGTGTTTGTGGCTCCTGTACATCCTTGCAAATCTGATCTCTCTCCTCCACTGTGACTCTTAGTCACCTTCCCCTCCTTTACTCTCTTCTGCTTGTGCCCCAGGCAGGCATTGGTGCTGGGGCTCCGGAGCTGCGGCCTGTGCGCAGAGCTCAAGGCCCTGCGTGCCCAGAGCAGAGAGCTAGAGGAGGCTGCTGGGCGGCAGCAGCTTCTGCTGCAGGAGCTACAGGCCAAACAGCAACGGATCCTGCACTGGCGCCGGCTGGTGGTGAGAGGCAGGACTCTAGGAGCAGTGGAGGGGCCTGCTGGAGGGCCAGAGTGAGGCTGGGAGCCTTCTGATCCAGAGCTAGAGCTTGGCGGGGGGTTTGGGGTTGGGGGGAGTTGGTGCAGGGTGAGACTCCCAAGAGGAAGCAGGACCCATGCAAAGGGATGAGCGGGGCAAGAGGCTGGGAGGTGGGAAGGAAAAGCCGCCCATCTCAGTGGCCTCCTGGTTGTCCAGGAGGAGACACAGGAACAGGTCCGCCTGCTCATCAAGGGCAACTCAGCCAGCAAGACGCGTCTATGCCGGAGCCCTGGGGAGGTGAGATTGGAGTTGGGGCGAGGTCTGGGTAGAGCCGGGTCTCCTAGGGATGGGGCTGGGTGGCCTCAGGCTGCCCCCCACCTTTCCTTCTTCAAAGGTGCTAGCTCTGGTTCAGCGAAAAATGGTTCCCGCATCTGAGGCAGTGGCACCACAGAGCCAGGAGCTGCTTCGCTGTCTGGAGGAGGAAGCCCAGCATCTGCCCCACCTTCTGCTGGGCACACTGCTGCGGCACAGCCCCGGAGGGTGAGACTGCGGCCACCTCCACGCCCCCTCCCCTGGGTGACTGTCACTCCCTGGGCCCACTCCAAAAAATTAATCTTAGACCTGCACTGTTCCTAGACTGCCTGCCAGACCTCACCCTCAGGTCCTTGGCTCTAATCTGGAATCCTAGTTCCCAGACCCACCTCCAAGTTCCTGGGCCTCCTGAGCCCACCTCAGCCCCCAGAGCCTCTAGAACGCAGCCTTCCTCTCAGTGCCCCACCCAACCTGGACTTTCCCCCAGGTTGCAACCCCTGCCCACGGTCCTGCCATCCATCCACCAGCTGCATCCTGCGTCCCCAAGGAGCTCCAGCCTCATAGTGCTGAGCCACACACTAGGACTGCCCGCAGGGAAGGTGAGTGCCTGTCCCCTAGGACCTGTCTTCACACCTCTACCCCCACCCAAGGTGACCATCCTTCCCCCTCCCTCCAGGCCCCGGAGCTGCTCCTCCCGAAGGCCGCCTCTCTTCGCCAGGACCTTCTGTTCCTCCAGGACCAGCGGGGTCTCCGGTGCTGGGATCTGCTCCACATGAAGACCAGCCTGCCGCCGGGACCATCCACCCAGGGTAGGCCTGCCCTGCTTCCTTATGCAGCATCCCTGCCCCTCTGCAGGACCAGCAGCCTCCAGGAGAAATCACAACTCCCATTGCTTACATGGTGCCTCCTGCATGTTGAGGACCTTAAGCAAACACGTGGCTGGTGCTGTCACTCTCCCCATTTTGCAGGGGAAGGAATGAGATGCAGAGGGCTTGGTAGCTGCCTGGTAGGCAGAGCTACAATTTGAATCCAGATAGGCTGACCTGGGTCTGTGCTCCTAACCACTAGGCAACATGGCCCATCAAATTGCCAAGTACTTGTTCGTCACCATCCAGTAGTATACTTGAGTGATATACCATTGGCTGTGGAGTTAAAGTACCTGGATTCTCTTCTCAGCCCTGTTTCTTCCTGGCTGTCGATCTCCCTGTGCCTCAGTTTCCTCCTCAGTAGAGTAAGCATAATCACAGTACCTTACAGCCTTGCTGGGAGACTCAGTCAGGTGATCCAAACGAGGCACTGAACAACGCCTGGCACGTAGTGAGCCTCAGGGTCTCTGGCGTGATGGCCAGCATTTTGTGTGTACATGTGCAGTCTCTTCCAGTCCTCACTACACGGGAAGGGATTATTAAGACCTCAGTTTACAGAGAGGAGACTGAAACTCAGAAGAGTCGTTCGTGCCTGGATTCACTCAGCAAGTACCCACTGGGTATCTGCCAGGTGCTGGCCCCGAGAGCTCAATGGGAAGAGAGGCGAGAGCTGTCCAGCCCCAGGGGGTTCCCGATGGTAGAAGCAATGAGCAGAGCATCACAGGATAAATAGATGGAAGAGGCGACCTGATGAGAAATGAATCAGGATGCCATGAGCCAAGTAGGAAGACAGTTTTCAAGCCTTTGCATTTAGGGCTCCCTGCCTTCCTCCTCTCCATGTGGGCAGGGAGCCCTGTGCAAGAACCGCGGGAACAGCCCAAGACACGGCACAGCATCGTCCCACCTCACGGGCATCTTGGACTTCAACCTGTCTCTACCAGAACTTAGTTCCCTGTACTCCAAAAAGCAGTTTTGTTTTTCTTCCTCCTGGTTTCCTTCCCTCAGTAGATGACCTCACCCTCCTCATACAGGTGCTGAAGCCAGAAAGCCAGGCGTCATCCTTAATTCCTCCCAGCTCTATAGCCCCCAACCTTCAACCTGTCAGCAAGCCCTGTGGGTCCCAACTCCAGACTGCCCCAGTATGTCCCCTGCCCCACTGGCCTGTGGCTCATCATTCCACCTGACTGCAGGGCAAGGGTCATGCCCAAGGTCACAAGGCAAGGAAGGGATGGAGTCAGGATTCAAGGCCCAAAGGACCTGACCGCACTGCTGACCTGCACTTGCTCTGAGCTGGGCTTGGTCCGGGTCTGTGGAGAGGGACTCAGCCCGTCACTGTCCCCAGGGGAAACACTGCTGGAGTGAAGGGCTGCAGCAGTCAGAGGGGAGCCTTGGGCTGAGGAATGCTGGGAAGGGCTTCCAGGAGGAAGGACAGTGTCTAGAGTGGGCCCTGGGGACAGGTGAGTTTTTGCCCTGGAGGAGTGAGCAGAGGCCACAAAATACAAACCTGTAAATTCTAGGCTGAGGAGTGTGGACTCTGTCTTGGGGGCACTGGGGAGCCTGGGAGGGTTCCAGGCAGGAGAGGGAAGGGATCAAGTTTAGGTTCAGGAAGATCACTCTAGCTGCCACGTGGAAGACGGACCAGAGTGGGAGGCTGAGGCCTGGAGCCTAGGAGGGAGGCTGGAGGATAAGTAGGGAAGGGGGCAGGAGAGGAAGCTGAGGAATGGGCCATGGAGATTGAGGGACTGTCAGGAGGACAGAGAAGGCATCCAGGATGAGGCCTGGGCCATGGTGGGCTGCCCCCTGAGACAGGACCTGGGAGGAGGGAGAGGTTTGGTAGAGATGCTGAGGTCAACACTAGGTGACTGGAGACTTGGTGACCCACTTGCTGCAAGGCCCCAGGGAGCCAGAGGACTCAGTGCCGCCTCCTGGGTTTCTAACCTGCAGAGCTGCTGCAGATCCGGGCATCCCAGGAAAAGGAGCAGAAAGAGAATCTGGGGCAGGCCCTGAAGAGGCTGGAGAACCTAATGCAACAAGCGCTGGAGCGAATCCCCAAACTGCAGGGGGCTGTGGGGGACTGGTGAGAGGGGGACATACTGGGGGGAGGTGGGAGACTGAGCTGGGTGGACCAGGCAGAGCTCAGGCTGGGGGGCTGCATGGCAAGCAGGCCATGGTGTTGCGGGGAGGCCAGCGAGGGTCTGAAGGTCCAGGCCTTCCTCTGACACCATCCCCTTCCCCAGGTGGGAACAGCCAGGCCAAGCCGCCCTCTCTGGGGAGCTCTGCCACGGCCTGTCCCTGCCCCAGTGGCGGCTTCGCTGGGTCCAGGCCCAAGGCAGCCTGCGGCAGCTGTGCAGATGAAGAGGGAGCTCAAATAGCAATCGAGAGCCTCACATTTGTTCACGCCAACACCTCCCCTCCCCCAAGAAGACCTTCGGAAGAAGATATCACCTGGATGTGTCAGCCCATCGGCTGCCCAGACCTGTCATCTGCCTCACAGGGTGCTTTGCTCTTCCTCTCAGCTACCTTGCCCTTGTCCTTTCATCCCACCAAAGCCAAGTGGATGGAGTACTCTGGACGCAACCCCAGGTACCTCTGAAACTCCCGTCATCGCTTTCACCCTCAGCAAAAAGTAACTGAGCACCTGCTCTAAACACTGAGGAAACAGCACCAAACAGAACAGACAAAAGTCCCAGTCTTCAGGGAGTTGACGTTCTAGGACAGGGAAACAGACCACTGACAAGACAAGTAAGCAAAGTATATAGTATGTTGGGAGATAACTGCTATGGAGAAAAGTAAAGCAGGCTGTAGGTGGTGCAATTTTAAAAACAGGGCTCCACAGCCAAGGCCACACTCTGTAAAGGTAGTGAGAAGGAGGCACGTGGGTATCTGAGGAAGGCTTGCAGGTGACAGCTACAGCACGTGCAAAGGCCCTGAGTTCGAATGTGCTGATGTGAGGGAGGCAGTGTAGCCAGGCGGAATGGGGTTTGAGAGATGAGATTGTCTTCTAGTTTTTATAGTTTCTTGTTTTACATTTCAATCTCTGAGCCATTTGGAAATTATCCAAATGGATTCAGCTTTGTCTTATATTATATGTATATCCCGGTAGCACTCATTAAAATTCTCAGAGCAGTGGTTGCTTCTGAGGGAGGGCTGTGTGGCAGGGATCAACCAAGGAGGAGACAAGGAAACTTGTGGAGTTGGGAATGCATTGTATGTTGAGAGTGGCAGGGGTGCCACAGGTGTGTAGATTTGTCAGAATTCACCCAGCTGTGCCTAGGTCTGTGTGTGTCACTGCATGAATTACTCTGCAATTTATAAAGTAAAACTTGAGGTGATTTGAGATGCCACCTTTTCATACGCTGAATTTGTGTGGTTAATTGGGCTAGCAGTGAGTTCTCTCCAGACCACTGTACGTCCGCCTCTCAGGCACCCTTCGTGGCAGGGTTTTATTGTAAAGGCTTCGTAATGTGTCTCAGGACCTGAAATGGCCAGTCGCCGTCATGCTCTTATTTTTCAAGGTTTCCCTGTCTCTCAATCTTTTCTCCCAAACGAAATGAACTTTATACTCAACTTCCCTGGTTCCAGAAGAAATACAAACATGGATGGGAATTTTATTGGGATTGCAGTCCGATTACAAATGAGGGGTATTTGACATCTTTGTGATCTTGAACCTGGCTTTCCACTTCCCTTTTCACAGCTGCTCCCTCAGCCTCCAGAGCCCTCTCGCTCTCCCAGTTCTCTTCTGGCCCCAGTGACTCTTTCCCAGTCCTTACACATTTGCTTTGCTCTGCGCCACCTTGGTGTTCCTCCTCTTCCTCTCTTCATCTTGGTCCCCAGCCCCCAGCCCCCTACCAAACGTGGAGGTCCTCACCCCCCTCCCTGCTTGAATTTCCTCCATAGCACGTCTGATCTTCTAACATACTATGTGTTTTACTTTATCTTTTATTGTCCTCCTGAAACAGGTGAATTCCTCTATAATCTAGAAGTTGGACAAACTTTCCCAAATATGATTCAAAATCCAGATGCAATAAGGGGAAATATTGACAAAAACATAAAAGCAAACTTTTGCATGGCAAAAAAAAAAAAAAAAAAAAAAAAATGAGCAAAGTAAAAGGAAGGAACAAATTGGGAATAAATTTTTGCAACTTATACCATAAAAAGTTGTGTGTGTGCGTGCGCACATGCATGTGTAGTATCAAAGTGGAAAAGGAAAATTCCAGTGCATAGAAAAATGGGCAAAATACATGAATGGACACTTCTCAGGAAATATGCTCAAACTCAGTCATACTAAGAGAAAAGCAAATTAAAACCACATTTGGATACATTTCTCACCTCTCAGACTGGGAAAAAGAACACCCAGCATTTGGGCAGCTCACTTTGTTGGCAAGGCTATGGGAAGAGAGCACTCTGATGCATTAGTGGGCATGCGGTATGGAACAACACCTGTGGGACCATTTCCAGCCAAACCAGAAATGCATTGACTCGTTGCCCAAACAATCCCACTTTTAGGAATCTGTCCCAAAGACACGCTGGGTGAAATACAAGTTGTGGGACCTTGTCCAAAACAACTAGACCATATTCTTCAGAAGGTCAATGCAGGGAGGGTGTGGGGACTGTTTTAGATTAAAGGGACATGACAGCCAAATGCCATGCAGGATCTTGGTTGAATCTCAGATTTTTTAAAAAGTATTTGAAAGTACATTTTGGGGACAACTTGGGAAATTTGTATATTGGAGAGTATTATTGTTATCTGTTAAATTTCTTTGATGGGATAATGGTATTGTGATTAGGGGAGAAGATGTTCTTAAAGGATGTGTTGAAGTATTAAGGGTGATGTCTGCAACTTTCAAATAGTTCAGAACAGCAGAGAATAAGGTAGAAGGGACAGGGATGGAAGCCAGACATCTCTGAATGTACATTGTTTCATACTTTTGACTGTGGAAACACCTTTTTTGTTTTGTTTTGTTTTTTGCTGAGGAAGATTTGGCCTGAGCTAACATCTGTGCCAATCTTCCTCTATTTTGTATGTGGGTCGCCTCCATGGCATGGCCACCAACGAGTGGTATAGGTCCATGCCTGGGAACCAAGCCTGGGCTCCTGAAGCAGAATGTGCCAAACTTACACCAGGCCACAGGGCCAGCCCCAACATCTAATTTTTCATAATCTAAAAAAATAAGGAAAAGAAAGAAATCCCTAAAAATTCAAAACAAACTGAAACAAATGAAACTAACTCTATATCAAGTTGTTGGCACAACTGTTTCATATAAGAATTGTTTCAGGTTGTGTTAAAACACAGTTCTTCCATTCATTGCCTCCAAGAGAAAAAGAATTGCAATGAAATCTTAAACTGCATTCAGTAGTCGTCGTCTTTGTAATAATACCGGTATTTTATTTTGATAAAAATATGTAGTTTAAAATTGAGACCCTACATTACGTATTTTAAAATTATATGTTAGACTAAAGCAAATAAGTGGTTTTGCTAATGTTAATGGAGACTAACATTTTTAATGCAAATGAAAAGAGATACAGATACAAAAATCAAAGAGTAAACACCCTATAATCTTTCACTTTAACTGGAAATATCAGAATGAACTCATGGGTTTTTCTCTTTCTAAAAAATATATATTTCCCTAGCTAAGTCCATGGAAAAAGTAGCTATAATGACAACCCAGTAAAAATGAGCAACCCTAATGCCCAGATTGTGGTCTCTAAATACTATTTCTGACTAGACGGAACCAAGGATCCTTGGGAAAATAGCTGATTCCAGATCTGGGGCAGGATTTGTGCAAAATGAGTATGGGGCATCTTGTGCCAGAAAGCTACAAAGTCCTCCAAGACTGCTGAGGTTGAGTTAAAAGGACCCAGGAGTCAATCTGAAGAGACTTGCCACTGGCCAAAGATGGGACATTTTGTGCAGCAGTAAGAATGACTGCAGTGACTTGAGGCACGTCAAATATGTTTGAAAATGTACATGTATAGTGATACTTATACACACATACCTCATTGGTCACCTTTGAAGGATGCTAGGAACCAATTCACTTTTGAAAAGGTGGGTTTTTTGTTTTGTTCTGTTTTTTCATTAAAAAAAAATCAAGCATGTTCTTTCTTTCCTGTATGTGAACAAGTAACCAAATTCCTGATGCAGGGGAAGTTATTTATGAAAGAATCACTAATAATTGCAGAGAAAATGATAAAATTCGAAAACCACTGTTTTCCAAACACTAGTGAAGTAATGGATACAGGTAATGATCAAGGGCTGCTAAAACGATTCATGGAAAGGTTGACTGGGCTCCTGACAGTGGATGGAACAGGACGACACTGCTGACCTTGGCATCACCCAAGGACAGCTAGACAGCATGTGCTCCTCATGGGATACAATAGGATACATTACAACAGCGCTACCTATGAAGTCTCCTTTCACCAAGTTAAACCTAAATTGAATCAAGCTTCTGACAGTCACTACAGTATATGAGAAAGGGGGCGGGGCCAGTGAGGAATAAGTGAAACAATGTAACTAAATCCAAAATGTGAGACATCCTATAGGACAATTGATCCAGTTTCTTCAACAAATAGAAGGCAAAAAAGGGGGAGGGGAGGAGAAAGAAAGAGGGAGGAAGGGAAAAAGAAAAAGGCAAGGAAAGAGAAATTCATAGATTAAAAAAGACAAGATTGTTTTTTATTGAGTTAATGATAGGTTACAATCTTGTGAAATTTCAGTTGTACATTAATGTTTGTCATTCGTGTTGTAGGTGCACCACTTCACCCTTTGTGCCCACCCCCCACCCCACCTTTCCCCTGGTATCCACTAAACTATTCTCTTAGTCCACATTTTTAAATTCCTCATATGAGTGGAGTCATACAGAGATTGTCCTTTTCTATCTGGCTTATTTCACTTAACATAATTCCCTCAAGGTCCATCCATGTTATTGCAAATGGAATGATTTTGTTCTGTTTTGCAGCTGAGTAGTATTCCATTGTATATATGTACCACATCTTCTTTATCCATTCGTCTGTTGATGGGCACTTAGGTTGCTTCCATGTCTTGGCTATTGTAAATAATGCTGCAATGAACATTGGGGTACATAGGACTTTTGGGATTGCTGACTTCAAACTCTTTGGATAAATACTCAGTAGTGGGATGGCAGTTGTATTTTTAATTTTTTGAGGAATCTCCATACTGTTTTCCATAGCGGCTGCACCAGTTTGCATTCCCACCAGCGGTGTGTGAGGGTTCCTTTTTCTCCACAACCTCTCCAACATTTGTTACTATTAGTTTTAGATATTTTTGTCATTCTAATGGGTGTAAGGTGATATCTTAGTGTAGTTTTGATTTGCATTTCCCTGATGATCAGCGATGATGAGCATCTTTTCATGTGCCTATTGGCCATCCATATATCTTCTTTGGAGAAATGTCTGTTCATGTCTCCAGCCCATTTTTTGATCGGGTTGTTTGATTTTTTGTTGTTGAGTTGTGAGAGTTCTTTGTATATTATGGATATTAAGCCTTTGTCAGATATATGACTTGCAAATATTTTTTCCCAGTTAGTGGGTTGTTTTTTTGTTTCAATCCTGTTTTCATTTGCCTTGAAGAAGCTCTAAAAAAGACTTAAGATTTTAAAAGCTGAAACAATTTGAGCAACAAAATAACTAAAATGGTGCTGACTTATAACCCAAAGTATAAAATATCCGTGAATCTATACTGATATAAACGATTTCATAATTAAATAAAGGGGACAGAATAGGCAAATCCCGTGTAGAACTCCTAATAATTTATGTAGATAACTCCACTCTCGAGGTGGAACTTAACTCCCCACCTGCGGAGTGTGGGCTGCGAGTAATGACTTCCAAAGAGCATGGAAAGGGAGCCAAACAGAAGGTAACTTTATAGTGGAGAAACCTGACAAGCGCTATCTTAGCTAGGAGGGCAAAGTCAACATCATCAGTGCTAAGTCATGTTGATGGTATGTACCCTTGATATGACAGGATATGATGACAATTGCACTTTACCTATGTGGTCTTCTCCCCAAAATACCCATAACCCCAGCCTAATGATAAGAAAAATAGCAGATCCAAAATAGGGATATTCTATAAAATACCTCACCAGTAATCTTCAAAACGGTCAAATGCATGAAAAACAAGGAAATGTAAAAAACTGTCACAAGCAAGAGGAGCCTAAGGAAAGATGACAACTAAATGTAACATGGTATCTGGCATGAAATGCTTGGACAGAAAAGAGATTAGGCAAGCATGAAGGAAATCTGACTCAAGTATAGACTAGGAAATAATGGGGCGGGGGGGGGGGGTCGCGGGGTGAGGAAGGCTTCCTATTCTCTTACCACATCTCTAGCACGGAAGCAAACAAAAGCCAGTATTTAACAAGCATTCGTTGGTGCTGATTCAGACTGGGACTTCAAGAAACCAAGTCAGCCAATAAAATTAAGTTTTGACAGAAAAATAGACTAAGCAACCAAATGCAACGTGTGGATCTTATTTGGATCCTGACTTTACAATACAGGTACTACTGTATAGACATTTTGAGGCAGGGAAAATGGAACACAGTCTGAGTGTTAGATGATACTAAGAAATTAATATTCTTGGATATGAAAATGCCATGTTTTTTTTTTTTAAGAAGTCCTTATCTGAGAGACATTATGAAGCATTTATGGGTGAATTGATAGATGTCTTGAATTTGCTTTAATATACTCATGCAAAAAAATAAACAGAAGTATAGACGAAACAAGAAGGGTAGAACAAGCACAACCAGAGGCACTCACAACTAAACTATACAGCTGTGTACTGGGAGACTTTGGGAAGGAGGAGAAAAAAAACAATTGGCGACGGATGTTAACTAAGGTGCCAATCTTAAAGAAAAAAAAAGTAAAACATAGTAATTGTTGAAGGGTACATGAGATTGGTTATATTATTCTCTCCGCTATTGTATTTTTGAAAGTACTCAAATAAAAACATTTTGAGAACTACAAAACAAAGGAGGTCAGCTGTGTCCCAAGAAAGGGCGCAGAGACCAAACCTACACACGTGACCTTCTGAGTTGACGTATTTGACTGCCTCTCGGCCATTGCATGAACTATTCCTCCTAGC